GATTTCAAAAATATACAACCCAGCGGGAAGGAAGAAAATTCAAAACAGCCTTGGATTTGCATGTTCAGGTACAGAGAAATATAAATACTATATGAATAAATTAATTCAAAACCATTTTTGTTATCTGGTGTGTGTACAGTGCAGCACATGGGTATAAATGTGTGTAACATTCTGTGTGAGAACTGTTGAAAAAGGCCGCCTCTTTCTTGTAATTTTAGCGACATGATTAAAAACAGGACAGGTCAAACTCAGAGGGCACAGAAGGGAAATTATACGATCCTTAAAGCCTCCTCCAGTCTCTTCACAAAAAAAAATCATCAAAGTGGGAAATTAATTCTTGCCAGTGGTGTCGCTCCACAGCTTGTCTCTCCCCTGATATTATGATTGGACTTGATTTGAGGCTGCTGGAGAAATGTCTGAAAGGTTTAAGTGTAATACTTCCTGTTAGCCTTACATCAATACAATCCAGACCAAAATGACCTGCTGGCTAAGGAAGCAATCAAAGTAAATATAAACAGTAAGTACTTTAAAGGATGAAATAACAACAGCTTAAAATAAAGATGATTTTAAATGATGGGATTTGTTCTTGTCTCCTTTAATTTTTTTGTATCTTTTTCTGTGATTCTCTCTCCTCCACATGACCACATGTCTCAGACAGGGATTACAGCCTTATATAAACCTGACTGCACTGACGCCATACAAAGTCCCACAGAGGGTTTACAGTACTGACGGTTATTGCAAATTGCCCATTGATCCCCTATTTTTGATGTGGGAATTTATACACTAAAAGATTTGCCGTCTATTGATCCCATCATATATATATATAACAAATAAACTGTCATATTACCGTGAAGGTGTATAAAAGAAAGCGTTACAGTAATCAATACAAGACTAAATCAACCCACAGCTCATCTAAATTTACTGGCTGACTCAGTATACTCAAAGCTTGTCAGCAGCTTTAAAACATTGTATATGGGTCTGTTTCCTTTTTCTCAGTTTGTCTGCTGCCATCAAGTAAGAAAGTTTAGCTATTAGGTCAGACATTTCTATTTATGTTGACACAGAACAGTAGAAGAAAAATATTCAGAATAAAAAGTACTTTAAAGAGGTCCATAGTGAAGATATTTTCAAACAACTTTTAAAAGTGTCGGATATTTATTTGATCAAATTCTTTACCTGATTTTTACCTGAAGTATTTTCCATGTTATGGCTATAAAAAAGATACTTTTGACTTTTTTAGTTTTCCCTTTTTATGTGGAGCAGTTCTTATTCACTTCACTCCTCCACTGGGAACAATAAATAGATCATTATTGTCAGGACACTTTGCTGTTTTATGATTTTTTTAAATGATACATAATCCTCTGCAAGAGCAGACGATTCATAATCAATGTTGAGCGGGTAAATAATTTAGCTCTCTGTACAAGTTCAAATAAACTCACATTTAATTAATAATTGACTATTTTAATTATGAGTAAAAGCAGCTACGATTGGGGAAAGAGGGGACAGATGACTAACATGTTGGTTTTAACCCTTATTTTTTAATGCACATTTCCATTAAATCAAGCCAGTGGAAGTTAATCTAAAGTAATCAATGTGTTGTTTCATCTCTCCGCAGGTCCAAGCATCGTTGCATTCCCCCCTAAACCCCTGTGCCGTATTCCCCCTCACTTTAAATAACATGACAAGCTCCGGGGCATTACTCCTGTGTTCTTTTCACCAGAGACAGGGGAAGAGGATTTGGCCGCTGTCAGCAGTTACTGGAGGGCAGTAGCACTGTACTCAAATCCCAGGTTTGGATTATGATATATACGAATCAATCAATCTCCTTTTGCCAGCGTGGTGAATCAGAGATGACCTAGTTGGATGAATCTAATCCAAGCCATGACTGACGGCACAAGGACAAAAGGGAGCTCAACGGGGGAATTACAAAATACGCTCATTAGATAAATATTACAGAGGATAAAAAACAAAGCAGAAGCTCTCAGTGTGTTCCTCTCTTACAATCTTTCTATCTCAGTGTCCATCTTTCTTTTTCCTCCCTCTCATTTTGCTCCAGTGTCTGTGTTCCCAATCTCTTCTCTAATTTATTATCTGTCTCGGGGTGTTTCTTCACCTGTCACTCTCACCTTTTTATTTTGGAGATCTGAGACAGGAGATGCAATTCTCAGAGATCACGTCTTATGTTTGTACTTGATATTGATCAAATCCAGATCCTGTTCCTTTAACTCCACTCTCACTTTTATGTCTTTACATTTAGTCTGAATGTTTTACCAACATTTAAAATAAATTGCTTAACTAGCTAACATTGAATGTAACCTTGTGAAGTATTTTCTTAATAAGCCTTTTTGAGCTTTTACAGATGTAGCATCTCACGAAAGTCATTTTAATTAGATAAAACATGCTTCTAGACTGTAGCTACATTAAATGCACTAGTTAGCGATAGCTTTGCAAACATATAGTGAAAATTATTAAATGAAGCATAAGATCAACTGGTGTGGTATCTTGAGCCTCATGATTACCACTGGATCTACATTTCCACCTTTAAATGTGGTCACAAGCTTTGGTAATGGCTGAGGGAATGAGATTGTGGATACAAAAATGAGTTTTGCCTGCATGATGGGTCAGACTCAGCCTGAGGGTAAGGAGCTCACATACTCGAAATGGAGCTCAGAGAAGAGACGGTTGGAGCATCTGTTGATACCATTCGTTACATGCCATCACTATCTTGCATAAGCGTCTAGAAAACGGTTGGGATGCATGGAACCTCAAAGTTATTTTAGCATAATGTTTGTGTGTTTTCTGCCATCCTGTGAGGATGCTTGGTCCAGAGAGATTGGCTGTTTTGGCAAGTCTCTGAGTGTGTGTGCCAGCAGCACAAGGCAGACACTTATTGTTATCATTGTGTGTGTGTCTGATGCTGTGTGTGTGTGTGTATTGACTAAACATGGGGGGGATACAATAGATTCCATCCATAGTGAGAGAGAGAGTGAAGAACACCTGCCACATAGAGCTGAAGCATTAAGATCTAATCGTCTGTCTTTAAAAATCTATATTTTGGACAAAACTTGAAAAATATGACGAAAGCTAATTGTTCAGTTGATCAAACAGACAAGAAGCCAAACATACTGGTTATAAGTGTTGAGATTTATATCACGTGTGAGCTACAACACCTTTACCTGAGGTGGTTTATGAGCGTCTATCTGCTTTATCAGAACATTTCAGCAAGCTGTGTCCATCTCTTACTTTCTGCCTGACTCATGCTTCGTCTTTCTTTTCATCCTCCCTCTGTTTCTGTCTGCTTCCACTCTTTGCTGGCACTAGGTCTTTCAAAGAGATGCCAAAGTCAGTTTGCTCTCTTAAATTTATCACAGTTTTTTCTTTGAGATTTTTATTTTATCTTTTCCCACCTTCAGCTCACTTAAAAAGACTCCAGGAAACGGTGTCTCTTATCTGAGAGACGCCTTATTGCTACATTCGTAACCTCTCCTTTAGTTCAAAGTCTGTAAATAAAAAGCCAAAGTAAAAAGTGTTTCCAGACTGAAAGACATAGCCAGAATAAATTGTGTGTGGCATCTCTTTACTGTATGACTGAGATGTAATAAGGAGAAATTAATGCAATTAAAATGACGCATAAGGAGAAGTTTTACATTTTAGTAGCTGTGCCTACTCACTTTGAACTTATTGAAAAGGTCATTAAAACCCTCATGTCTAAATATGAAGCAGTCACCAGGGTTGTATGTGGGGCTATATCTTGGCCGCAGGAGGAGTGACTGTAAGCTTGCTGAGCTTGAGAGATGCTGGAAGCTGGAGTGTGATCAGAACGTCCAGCTAAAGCTGCTAATACACAGCTAGATTTGGTTTTTATATTTAACTTGGAGCTATGAGATTATCTTTCTTCTCATCTAACTGTGGGCGAGCATTAATTTATTTCCCCAAAATGTCAAAATCAGAGTTTGAGGGGAATGTTAATCTTTCATATTTTACTTGTGTGAAGATATAAAGAAGATTTGTTTTCGCCAAAAGGCAATTCATTTAACTCAAAGCCATCAACTTGTTACACTTGTTTTTTTTTTCAGTGCACAGCTATCCGGGCCTTCACATTGTGGGAAAGACAGAAACCATGAAATCTCTCAGGAAGGCTCTTTAATTCTTGAATTCTTATGTTTGTAACCTCAATGTAAAGCACATTGAGCTTACCTGTAATGACATTTAGAAATAAAACGACTATTGCTGTAGTGGTTGAAGGAATCAAATTTAGTCCTCTTACTAACAGCGAGCTTTGTTTCATTACATTAGACATCAAGAATGTTCTAAATGAATCAAACATAAATGATAACTGGTTAATTTAAAACACAGTGAAGGTCTTAACTCGGCCGTTTGACATATAGAGAATGACACAGAGAGAATGAGAAAAGAGAAAATAATAGAAAAAATACGCTTGTGGTGTATCACTCTGACCATAACAAACCTGACAAGGTTGTCAACGGCAACAATGACTTAAGAGTAAGAGAGTTGTAGGGCGATGGGATGGACAGAGGGGTGTGGAGAGAATTGGAGATAACAGGGAGTGTGACAACTGAATTACAGCTGACGGCTCTGATGTGAGCTCTCAGCTACAGAAAAACAAGACAGATAGACAATAAAGCACACGGGGAGGCTCGGAGAGAGAAAGAGAGACAGAAATAGAGAAGAAAAGAAGAAAATAAAAGGACCATTTAGAAGTCCATGAAGGGAAAGTAAAGGAAGAGTTAGAAGGGAAGTGAGAAATTTAGAGGACGGTAAGAAAATGCCTAATTTAAGATGGAAGGTATTTAAAGAATGAGAAACAGAGAAGGACAGCCTGCAGAAAACAAATGTATGAGAATCAAACATCAACAACAAATAAAGATGGAAGTGTGCAAAAGACATTTAGAGAAGGAGGGTACAATGTCCGTGTCAGTGAAGACACAATTATTTGATACTTATTTAAGAGTTGCAGTCTTGTTTTTTTTAAAACTTACTTGTTGCATTTGTGAGCCTGAAGGTGACCGACTTGTCCTCGATGTTACACACATTGCGGACTGACACCTGGCATGTGTAATCAGCAAAGTCCTTGGGTCTGAGATTTTTCAGCTTCAGCACCTTGGTCTCACCCTAGACAGATCAAAACACACACAACATAACACCATGCTTAAAATATTTGTTACAGTAACGTTTGACCCCCATAATCTTTAATATAAGACACACTTACACATGGAATGGAATCTCAAAATAGATCTAACCTCTCACATTCATATTACATAACATGTGACATTACATCAGTGAGAGAGTTTAGAGCTTTTTGTTGTTGTCTTTTCTAAACTGGGTTGTAATCTCGCATAAAAGTCCACTTTAATTTTTAATGAGCCGCAGTGTGATAAACAGGGTCAAAGACACACTATGATGAACACACACACATACACACACACACACACACACACACACACACACACACACACACACACACACACACACACACACACACACACACACACACACACAGCTGACACATGCACTACACTGTCTGTATGTCTGACATGCCCTGATTATCAACTGAAGCGTCTCAAATCTACATATAGAGCAATACATATGAGGAATTGGAAATGCTTTTCACATGAGACCATTACAGAAATGACACACATCTGATAGTCAGTGCAACGACCAGAACCAAATCCATCCATCTCCTCCCTGGATATTCATAAAACAATGTTACTCACTTCTAGCTTTCTCTCGCTGTCTCACAAACAATCTCTCTCTCGCTCTCTCGCTCTCTCTCTCTCTCTCTCTCTCTCTCTCTCTCTCTCTCTCTCTTTCTGTCACATCTCTTTCAACTCCACTGGTGATTTCGTGTCTGATTCTGTGTAACTGTCTTCTACGGGAGGTGAGGGGCTAACCCCGGGAAGAGCTCTGCAGGCCGGCTAATTGAACTCGAGGGGCCCCACTCTGAAGCTGACTGACGCTTTGATAAGCGGAGAAAAATGGATCAGTTTCGTTAATGCAACAGTTGCAGAACCAGACTAGATGATCGGGCTTGTGGGGAGTTTATTTTTTCATTCAGTTGAATGATTGGCTACTTCTGTCCGAGTGATCAAGTAACTGACTGACTGACTGGCTGTTTTCTTTTTTTAACCGACAGCTGGTCTGACTGTGTTTCTGTTGGCCGAGATGACAGAACAGTTACAAAAAGAAGACATTATGTCAGCTTAGTGTAGAGAAAGGCCCCAATCTTGTATTTTATCTCATTATGTAACAAAAAATGATTCACATAAGTCTGTGGATTTAACTGGAAGTGGACATCATTACAAAAAGTGCTTGGAAAATGTCCAACCTACTTATGTTTCTGCATGAAATGAGGTTGAAGTTTGACTTCATATATAAGAGAGCTATCATGAAAGACCTATAGCTGTTTTTAAAGGACTGGTGCATTCAAATGAAGATTTATGGATAAAAAAAATACTTTTTTTTCAATATATATATATATATATGTAAACATTGATATTCTAAATTGGACATAACATGCATTATCATAATGGAATGACCCCACTAATTTCACCCCAATCATGGCTTACTCAGCGCTGGATAACTTTTCTGGTGAAACCTATGAGAGCCAACATGGATAAATCTCCATTAATGTTCGAAGTATTTACCGGGAACTACATCTGAAAAGGCTTTAAATGTTTTTATCATCTGCAGTTTTCATGCTAATTAAGGTCATGCAAGCTCCATGGGGTGGCTGTGTTTTCACTCAAACATACCGACATACTGTAGCTTGTAGACCTGGGAGAGAGAGGCAGCTTGGGATTTTTTAAATGTTTTTTCTTTGTGTGTTCACACTGGTGAATTATTGTACCTGTAACCTCACAACATATTGAAGAAATCAAAGGTCCTTGGCCCTGCAAATGACGCTTGATTTCTCCCAAATTATCCGAAACATGCTAGTTGCTGCATAAACACTGCGATGTTTAATGCATTCCTTACACTCTTGCCCGTGCTCTGTTTTGTAAAAAGCTTACAAGAAGTGACATGACAGTCCAAATTCTTCAAAACACATAGTGTCACTCTCAGGAGGGCCCCACGCACAAGGCTTCTGCATGTGGAGACACTCACAGCATGACAGACCTGCCTCGTTGTGTTAAGGTTAAAGCTAGTGGACTAATGCTGTTTGGGCGAGGAGTTTGTGCACAGTCAATCCAGTCTGTTGTTGTCACAGCCATAGTGCTTTAAAAGTGTTCATGTACACACCACATTTCAGACTGAAATACCAGAAAAACTATGATCAGATGTAATATGGCAGACACTTCTTACTCAAGAGAATCGGGTGCAACATCAAGTGAGGAACGATATCATTCAGGAGGCAGGATTTTCTGGGGTATTTGAGAGCAGAAAGCGACTCGTGATGACCCCACATCTGGCAGAGTGTCTGCTCTGTGAATGTGCTCCTGTTTACCTGAGTGTAAAGCGGCTCGTAGATGTCCACTCCGTTGTCCTTGCTCTGTTCGATGAGCATGCTCCCACGTTTCCAGATGAAGCGTGCAGGAGGGTTGGAGTTGACAGTGCAGCGCAGGAAAACCGTCTTCTCCTGGTAGTAGCTGCCCCGCACGTCGCTGATGGTCTGGTGCACCGTCAGAACTGGTGTGTCAAGGTCTGCAAAACAAACAAACAAAAAATCTAAGCATGACGCTGCAGTGGGAGACCACTACTTATTACACACTAGCAGTTTGTTCATTAAGGCATCATTGCACTAAATACTGAAATGCAATGTTACAAACTACATGGTACATGGTTCAGCAAGTTGGGGAAGATGGCTGTCCACTATTGAGTGTGGTTGCGCTTGAGTTTTTTGACTGTTTAAGGGAAATTAGTCATTGCCCTCGCTATGTACAGTCATAACCTGCTCGTGTTAGGTGTTATAACCTTACTTGTGAATTTTCAGCGTACAATGAGTGAAAATTTATCTTTTGATTAAGGAAAAAAACACAGAAATACAACAGCAAGACAACAAAAATATTCAAAAAGCCAGAATACTTCGGAGTGTATGTTGAGTTAAAATAAGCTTCTGTTGGAATGATGTTGTTGCCTTCTCTGTGCTCAAAATTGGCCAGATTATGTGTGGCAGCTTTGGGTTTTGGTAACTGGGACACAACTGTAAACAAGGGCAAACAAGTGCAGTTTGTTGGCTGAAATGCCCACCCACACTGACCAAAACCATCCAAACAGTTTCCTATTGATTCCAGCTTCGGACAAGCACAAAACATCCAAACAATCTGATCTCCTTATCTCGCAGTGACTGTCTCACACACTAGATTTAAACATTTTCCTGTCATATTTGATCTCTTTTGCCTCGTTTCGCTGCACATTTCCTTCATGGGAGTGTCATCTCCTGTTTCCTCCTGTGGATAGGATTTCAGTGGCTGTCACTAGCGTGGAGGATGCTCTCCCCTGGTTTCTGCCATCTCTCCTAAACTCACTGCCACTTTCACTCCTCTTCACCCTTTCTCTCTATGTCCTCTCCTCCTCACTCCTCGCCTCTATTTCTCACAGGGCAGAGTGTAAAGTGAGTGTGTGTAATCCTGATTCTTTGCTGCCTAATTGGACTGTTGCAGACTTCAAACGTCATGGAAACAATTTCTGCCAACACCAGGGTAGCCTTTTCACCCTTTCCCTGCCTTTCCATTTATCTTTTCTCCTCTCACCTTCTCTTTTATGTTCTCTTTTCCTGTCCTTCAACAAGGTACAGAAAAATAGGAAAAGGCCTATTTAGGAGAGGACAGAGGGAGGTATTCCCATTTTCTTATTTCATCTTTAAATGAACCTTTTTTTTACATTATATTTAATGGCAGCAGCTGTCACACAAACAGCCACATGTATGCACACACACTCACATCTGGACCTAAATATAAGCCATTAGCATAGCATCGCACCACTTCTGTGGCTCAAAGGTAAGAGCTCTGAGAAAAGACTGGACAAATACACACAAAGAGACAACTTAAAGTCGTTCAGGTGAGTTTTGTGCCTCTGAGAAAAAGTGGTAAAAAAAAAAGAGAGACCTAGCATTGCATGTGATTGCAGCTTTCTTTGAAAGAGGAGTCACAGGATCGTGAAAACATTTACAAATTCATAGGATGAGAAGAGCTATCTTGCATGCTTTGAAGGTAGGTTCAGTGTGAAGGAACTTCACCTGATGTCGGGGGAGAGAAGGGTGAGTCAGAACGAGTATGACATTGAAAATATAATGCAAACACTTATGACGACACCATTCAGTCAAATCATATTCACTTTAGTTCTACAAAAAGAAAATAAAGACTACATTTTTTTTTTTGCCTAGAGCAAAACCAGTGCAAAAAAACAGAGACATACATAATGAATATTTGGGCTAAAACAGATCAGACCTTGATATGACTTCTTATGTAATTGCTCTAAAAATCCTCTAAAAGAGGAGCACTTTTATTTAGCTCAAGTGTATGTTTGATAAATAAGTGGTTGTTGCCCACAGTGGATTTTCAATGTATAATTCATTCATCGATTTGTATTTGAGATGTTATTCCAAATGAACATATTACTGTGCTTATCTAGCCCTCTTTTCTTGCTCTTTTATAATGTTAAAGAAAAGAATAATACCCATGTACAGCTGTTGTGTTGAGCCACATATGCTCTGTGTGGCCCCGGCTAAGCTGCTTACTGTAATGCACTGAAGTCTTCCGTTATTTGAGAGTTTCTCGGTGATATAGCTCTGCTCTCTGTGAAGTGCTCACCTGTTCCATTCCTTTCATCTCCCCCGCACACACCCTCATTTATAAAAACGACAACCCGCAGATTGTGACAAAAGGCCCAGCAGGGAAGCGGACAGTGACGTACCAGCAGTCCCTCTAAAAGCCTCTGCCAGTAAACAGGCCATCAAACCCCGGACAGCTATCAAAGATATCAGCCCCCTGGTCCTGCCTCGTGAGAATGTGTGTGTGAAAGAGAGCTGGCAAAAGAGCAAGCACCTTTGTCGTCTTCCATTAGTGAACATGGGCCTGCATATCTGTGTGTTTGCAGTCAGTGTGTATTTGTCCAGACTGGCAGACTTTCTATTTAATTTTCACAGATCATTTGTAGCACAGGGTGAGTCCGAGCTGACAAATGCTGCTGCAGTTAGTGTGTGTGCCAGAGAGTGAGTGAGATGGTCTATCTGCTGTCATTCTGTCTGGTTCGTGACACTGTGGATGTGCTGAATGTGGAGTAAGTGGAAAGTGACAGGTTGACACAGAGAGAAGCAGAGACAGACAAGTAGATTCTAGAGAATGTCACACATCAGCAAACGGACTCGGACTCGGAGGTCCTCACATCTACAGATACAGCAAAGAGGATTCTGAAAGCATAAATAGCTAAATAAAAGCAAAAAAAAAAAAAAGAGGATACATCTCAAGTATCAGTAAATCGTTTCTTCTGCTGTTTCTGTATATTTTCCAAATACTTTTACTGAGGCCATGGCCAAAACAGTCACAATACTTTTACAGCCTTTTTCACATGACAGTTGTGTTGTTGCAGATTTTATATCCAAGCTCCCTGTGAGTCTAACTTTACTCTGTTTGGGCCCTTAAGTAAATAGAACCACAAGATGAAACTGCAAGTGTACAGAAATACAATATGAAACTTTAATGAAGCTTCTGATTTCCCCAAAGTCCTGCCTTTGCACACAGCTTAGATCAATTGCACTGCACTGCTTTTGTTAGCTGCAGCTTTTAATGTACATCCACGCTCGGGGGGGTTTCAGCTTAGACACCACACAGCTCTGGTTTGTTCTTAACCCCTTTAAAAAAAACATATGTATAGGCTGTTATTTCAGTTATTGAATCGATTTGTAGTTTAATTCAAATACATGCCTTTGATCTCTCATGATAAATGATTAGTAGAAAAAAAAGGAATAAATTATATGTTGTGTTTTTTTATATAAAATGAAGAAAAATTCTTAGTTGATTTTATTTCATCTGTAAGGTGATGGACAAACTGATAACATTGATTCACTGCACTTTTACGTTATAGAAAATACACAACTTTCTTTCTTTAACCAGTCAGTTTTGCCGTGTTTGTAGAATTGTTTTTCTCAGAGATCTTTTGCTTTATTGTATGTGTTCAATTAGAGCCTTGAAAAACAATTTTTACAGTTAAACATAAGAACACAGAAAACATACAATGAAAGTCCCTCACCGCATTCACTCAACAAGGTCAGTTATTAAGTTCACCTTCGATACAGATCCTTCAATATTATTTTTTTAAATAAACCTAGACAGCACTTAGAGAGAGAAGCTGGAAACTAGAATAATATTGTATTTGTAAAAATGCTCCTTTCTGATGTCTAGTCAAAGGAGCAAGATGTAAGATATCTACTGAATTAAATTATAAAATGCCCTGACTACATCATCAAACATTTAAAAAAAACATGCTAATGTTGAAGTGCTGGCTTCTCTGACAACAATGCAGCAGCCAGAATGTCCTTCTAAGTTTTGATTCCGGTCCGTAATGGTCTGTATTTGTTTTGACCAGAGAAGGTAGGCGATCTAACAGCAACACCACATGGCCGTTATTGATGCTCCTCAGTTTGCCAGGCAAATGGTAAACCAACAGGTGTTGCAGCGATGAAAGCCGGCAGGCAAACTGGTTCAGATAGAAGTGATTGTACCCGATCTAAAAAGCCTCTGCATTTTTCTAATAAGCTCCACGACCAGAAATGTGGTGAAACTGGGATAAATATTGGAGATGCTTTTGATAGATGGAGAGAGGTTGAACACAAAAAAGATCAAAGCAGAGCTGGCCAAACACTGAAGCTACCATGTCCGCGACATGGAAACCTGTGTGCGCATCAACTCTAGAGAGGAGAGGGTGTGGGGAGACAGCTCTCTAAAATGTTTTGAATTTGGACTGCTGTACCAATTTTAAACGTTATGTGTCGGAGTTACATATTGCTCCTTTGAGTCTAGATTCTTTGATCAAGAAAATGTGAATAATTTCATCTCTCTCGCACATTTTCTTATTTGTCAAACAAAAAGGCAGATTCAATTTGGTTTAATTCATCCCATCAGATCCTGCTAGACCAGCCGCCTGATACAGACGCTTCTTAATCATAATAGAAAAACACTCAAGAGGTTTGCTTCTATTTGCTAAGAAGATTCTAAGGTCCAAGTTCGTCTCAATTATTTTAAATCTAAAACAAAAACAAACCCTCTAAAACACAAGCCTGTGCTTCAAAATTACCACATGTTTGAGGAGTTCCTTCAAGGTTAAGACTGAGTCAAATTTCAGTCAGGTATTCCAATCGTGTTTGCTCTTGAAGATGATGTTTGTTGCTTTAATATAAATTTCAGGATGAGCTAACGAGCAGGAAGAAGCGGGCCTGCACTGACTTTGTTTGCTTGTTATCTGAGGAATGAGATGATCAGAAATGTGCTCAGAACTACAAACCTTGCACGCTGCTAGCAAATTCAAGTTAACCCCTAGAATGCAATGCAGCTACAACATGTTTCTTCAGTATCAACCGCACGTGTTTTTTTTTAGTGATTATCCACTTTATACAAAAGAGATTTTATAAACTTTTTCCATGCCTCTTAATCCTGCACGGTGGATTCAAATAAAAACATAAGTTTCATGAAATTAAAGTCGTATGC